TAAAGCATCGGCGTACCCCATAGAAGTCCCTTTCTTATGCTGTATCTTGTAATTATAATTCTCGAGTTCTAAGGCCCGTCTAGCTTTCAAGGGTCATCGCTAAAGAATTGCAATCAGTAATGATCTTAAATTGTATACCTTTCAAATAAGTTCTAAATCGTCTTAAGCATATATTACAGTTAGAGTTTTCAGTTCGAAACTATGATACCTAGATTCGGCGCTAGTCGCGGTTTTCGAAAATTATGAAATGTGATGAAATTTCTTATCGTCCTGTCGTTGCAGAAGAACGGCACCAAATCCGATCGTAATCGCGTCATCGCAAGGACTGGACCATCTGTTAGACGGGGTTTTAATTCGTTAAAAACGTCGGGACACTTTTCGTTTTAAAGTCAAAGTTGGAATTCCCTATCAACAAGGTTTGTAACGGCTTAGCAATTTGAGAAAATGACGGAACGAACCGTCGAAAATAGGAATACAAACCAATGCAAGATTTAACTATGATAAAAAAGAAGGTAGTTTCAATAAACAACTTTTTGACGGATACTGGGATTTTTGAAGCTTCATAATTTGTTCATGTTGTTAGCAGTGTTACCATATTGTTAATATTTAAAAATAAATTAGGGAATTTCGAGATGAGTATTTCTTTCACAGTAAATGGGTGTAAATATTTTAGTCTTCTTAGACGAAACCAAACAACCAAAATTTATACATACAAAGAATGTAATTTTACTTCGAAATACAATGGATAATGGCATATGTACTTACGTTTATGATATTTCGCACCCCTACCCCAAACTGAAAATTAATCTATATGTATGCATGTATGTTGCGCTAACTGTATTAAATGTTTTTATTTAATAAATTCAACAAACCCATCAAGATGTCATTTTCCCCATCTTCTTATTTTCATTTTAGTTTTGTTCTCTTTTAACTTTAAATTTAAATATCTTATTCGAAAAAATTTCCCAAAAAAACAAACGTTTTGCAATTCTTTCCTCGATAGCAACATTTAAATTGTACAATAGATTTTTTAAAAAATTTGGACTTGTTAATTTTTCACCATTAATTTCAATAAATTTCGAGTTCAAATGCTCCAATATATTCAAAAAATCAGCACTTGGTTTATAAAGACCTCCTTCAGATATGCACATTCATTACCTTTCATATCGCGGCACTGCACTTTTGGAGAGTATGGTCTTGTTCTGGCTAATGCTAATATCCGTGGTAGCAAAATGTTGAGAACATACATACGGATATTTTAAAAGGCTTTCCTCACTCACGCCGCAGGCTTTAAGCCATTTTTGCCTCACAAAAGGAAGCGCTGGAAATTGAAAAAAAATTTATACCGTCCTCCTTGAGTGGTACCTGGTATTTTTGCAACTTCCAAATGCGCAACTCACTTTTCTTTTTATTATTTTCAAAAAATTAGTTTATTTTTCCTTCAAATGCTTTTCAGAAAAAAATGTATTATAATTTTTAATCTGGTAGCTTTACTTTCCACAGGTGGCAATAACGATACCATCCATGTATGTTATAATTTATTTATTGTCTATCATATCACGAAATACTTACATATATTATTTATAAAGTTCTGAAGCATAGCATTGGCATTCTATAGTCAGAATGGTATTTTTAAAAACTTGCATTCGTACCAATACAATAGCGGAAGCATTTGGTGCATTACTTGGTCTTATTATTCCCTCTTTCAGTAACTGGTCCACCATCGACCATACCTCATCCCGTTCGGATTAAGACCCTGCAGGGAGTGACGTTAGCTTATACCTAACTTTAGTCTGTTTACGCGAACGCTAGTGCTAACTATTAACTGTGTATTTTGTTCGAAAAAAGCTAACTACTTTTGTGGGGCGATGGCCGCAAAAAAGTCAGACCTGGATACCTCTGCATTACATGTCAACTAACTTGTAACTAACTACTTTTGGACATAAAATATCAATAAGAAAAACAAAATATTTTTTTGTTTTTTTAATTTTTAATTTACTTATTTATTTACTTTATTTTATTACATTTCATATTTTTTTACATATTCTGCTCTGGGTGGCCCCATATTCGAACACCGTCAGAC